CCGTGAGCGGCGCCTGCGCTTCCAGCACCGGCAGCACCTTCCTGGAGGGAGGAAAGAGCGGGGGAAAATCCAGGCAGGGACACGTTTTCCCGGGAAAAGCAGCCCCCGACGCCTCGGCGCGCGGCTGCTCACTTGCAGTCCTCCAGCAGCTCGCGGAGCAGCCGCTTCCCGGCCTCGTCCGCGTCGGCATCGCGGTCTAGGAGGCGGCGCAGGGACGCCAGGTTGTGCTCCTGCCGGGGGGGCCGGGGCCGGTGAGCCCGGGTGCCGGGCGCCGGGGGGTCCCCGCGCACTGTCCCCGTGCCCCGGCACCAGGCGGTCGTGCAGCGCCTGCAGCGCGTTGAGCGCCTCGCAGCGCTCGCTCACGTCCTCCCACGACGAGGTGAAGGCCACCACGGGCTTCGTGTCGAACCAGGGCAGGTAGCAGTAGCGGTTGCCTGCTCGGAAGGGCGGGAATGGGGAGCAGGGTGAGTGTCCGTTCTCCCGCATTCCAGCGAGCATCCCTTCTCCCATGCCGTGGCCAGCACCCCTTCTTCCATATCCCTATGGGCATCCTTTTTTTTTGCATGCCACAGCAATTATCCCTTTTCCCATAGGCTTGTGAACATCCCTTTCCCCCCATCCTGGTGAGCACCCCTTTCCTACACCAAGGCAAGCATCCCTCTTCCAGCGCGGCTTCCAGGCATCCCTTTCCCTGCGTCCCAACAAGCACTGTATTCCCAGCATCTCTTTCCACACCCCCTGGTGAGCATCCCTATTCCCACATCCTGGTGAGCATTCCTGTTCCTGCACCGTGGTGAGCATCCCTTTTCATGGACTGTGGCAAGCAACACTATGCCCCAAAGAACGTTCCTTTTCCTCTATCCCAAAGAGCATCCCCTTTCCTATACTCCAACGAGCATTCCTTTTCCTCTATCCCAATGAGCATCCCTTTTCATCTATCCCAAGAGCATCCCTTTTCCTCTATCCCAACGAGCATTCCTTTTCCTATACCCCAACGAGCATTCCTTTTCCTCTACCCAACGAGCATTCCTTTGCCTCTATCCCAAAGAGCATCCCTTTTCCTCTATCCCAAAGAGCATCCCTTTTCCTCTATCCCAA